CTCTCCGGACCGCAGGCCGACGCTCTAACCGCTGAGCCAAACTGGCCAGGGCCCAACTTATTATTTCTTGAGAAACTATACACTTTAACATTTGTTGACTAATTATAGGAGTGATAGTCTCAAAATTTCAATTGCCACAACTCCTGTAATTGTGCCAATGTCCACACACCCAGTGATATGGAATTATAAGGAACCTCCTTCAAACAGAGTATTTCCATAGAATTTTAATACCCTTGCAAGGTGTTAACAATTCCACAAGCATGGTCTTCCAACCTCATTCCCACATTAGGTTTCAGGTATCTGTAGGAGTCAAGATAGAAACTCATTGACTGATCCAAAACCTTAGGTCCTCTCCCTAAGGAAGAAGAGAAAGTTACGGGGGGCAGGACACCAGCACTGAAGACCCGGTGCCGTTCCTCACATCCAAGAAAACTCTCTCCTAGGATCCTTCATGTCCTCCACACAGGGCCTATTCATGAGAAGCACAACTCCCAGGGACCATTTACTGTCTTCTCTACAAACTGAACATATTTTGTACTATAGCTGTCAGCATCATTTGTTGTTTTTTTAAAACAAATTTTAAAATAAATTTATTTCTGTTACAGATGTTTCTCCTTTTCCCCCCGCAGACACCCTCCTTCCTATCCCGCCCCCACCATACGTTGTTGTCTATGTCCATTGGCACACATACATGCATATAAGTTCTTTGGTTTATCTCATCCCTCCCCCACCCCCACCCCACTCCTCTGAGGTCTGTCGGTCTGAATCATACATACTCTTTTCTATGTCTCCGAGTCTGTTTTGTTCATCAGCTTTTTTTGTTCATTATATTCCACAAATAATTGAGATCATATGGTATTTGTCTTTCCCTGATTGGCTTATTTCGCTTAGCATAATACTCTCTAGGTCCCTCCATGTCGTCTTGAATGATACGAGATCATTTGCTTTTAAATGATGCCGCTCGGAGCTTGAACTTACAAGACATTTTCCTTGAAGTTCATTTCTGCTCTAGTCAAATAAAGCACACAGTACTTCTCTAATCAGGCTCCCAATCCCTGGGGGCATGCAGAAGTCAATTTCCGAATTGGTCATTGTATTCCACGGGTGACACAGAAAGCTAAGATTTGGCAGGGAATGCAGTGGCCCCGGTTTGGAGCTTGTTCATCTGATCAGGTCATGTCCAAGCAGTAACAGCACCATGGACAAGCAGGACTGCATTTGAATGCACAATTAATTGCTGAAAATGTGTTTGAAAGTCAAATGTATAAATTTCAAATAACAGACTTACTGTTATGTGTATGTCCCCAAATGCAAAGAAGTTTTCCAAATTCCAATTCAAGGTTCTTCTCTTGCCCAGGCAACCTTTGCTCATAAGAACCTTCACAGGCCCTCAGAGCGAGAAGCAAATGCTGGTGTGCAAGGGGGTACCGGCTGAGTCCCAGCATCTCCCTTGACCAGATGGCTATCCCTGAGCAGGAGCTGGGTGGATAGTTAGAAAATTACTAAGTACAGGAGTCAAGATCTGTCGTTCTGTGCTCCCCGGTGAGGCTCCTCACCTGGCTGTGGCCACAGGAGGAAATCAGAAAACACTCCTTGCCTCTGGCTGAAGTCATTCTCACCTACAGGTGGGCCAGCAAGTAGAACTGTATGACCATGTGATCATTTGAAATGTTAGCTGCCTGGAGAGACAAAAAGCTTGAATTCTGCATACGAAAGGCAGTTTGTTGTCAGTGTGGATCCAGTGAAAGCGTAGGAAGTATATGCTCTGCAGCGAGGAGGTCAAGCGGAGCTCAGGTGAATAGCTGCATCCTCTCCTATAACCATAGGTTCCTTTTAGGCTTTAGTATCTCAGTCCCCGCAGGCTGGTATAACAAAACACCCCGTAGACTGAATGGCTTATAAATAATAGAATTTTATTTTTCACAGTTCTGGAGACAGGGAAGTTCACGATCAAGGTGTAAGCAGATTTGGTGCCTGGCAAGGGTCTGCTTCCTAGTTCACAGAAGGGCATCTTCTCAATCTGTCCCCACCTGGCAAGGGGCCAGGGAGCTCGCAGTTTATAAAGACTCTACCCTTCTGACCTCATCACCTCTCAAAGGCCCCACTGTCTAATACCATTACATGGAGGGTTAGGTTTGAACATACAAATTTGGGGGAGACACAAACATTCAGACCACAGCACTTGGTATGAAGGGCTTGGAAAGCTAAAGAGGCTCACTGAACTTTTCTCCTGGGCTACTAGTAAGAGGCATAGCCAACCATAACAGACATAACGAGCAGCTGCATTTAATGAGTAGTTCACGCCAGGCAATGTGGTCACCACAAACATACCTATTTCACAGGTGAGAATATTGACTTTCTCAAGGTCCTCTGGTAACTGACTGACAGTGGAACAGAGAACACACTCAGCAGGTCTGTACTCTTAAGCAATACAATACACTGTCTCATCACATAATGCTCTTCTTTACAATGTTAGGCTCCCTTTCTCTCTGGCTATCAAGTGAAACAAATATGGGCTGATTATATCAAACATTAGGAACTTTCAGGTCCATAAATCAATTTTTCCTAATAAAAAAGAATATCTTTTTGAAATGGAGCCTCAATGTGTTCTTCTGATATTCACTGCACTCCAGCGGTAGGCATCATTTATGCAGAGCTGAGCAGTGAGTTTGCTCATGGCAGCAAGTTGTTCCTGTGAATTATCTGTGCCGGGAGACTGTCTTCCCTATGTTAACTTTGCTTATAAACTGCCCACAGAACAAACCCAAGAGAAACCTCTTCTGCCTCTAACAGAATGGCTGACCAGTCCCTTTCCCTTTCTGAACACTCCTAGAAGAGACAGGCTGGTGTTGGAAGCGTTTCCCTAATATAACTGCCCTCCAGTAGTCTACCCCACACTGTATGGGACAAAGGTTCTGATGGAGGAAGTCTCTTAGACTCCGGGAGGGGCTTTCACCATGCTGCCTGCAGCAACCCGCTGACATTCCCAAGCCACCAGGCCTGTCTGCTTTCACTGTAACCCTTGATTTGACTAGAACCTCAAAAACAGGATGGGGGAAGGGGTGACAAGCAGTAGGAGAGGACAAGGCCTTTAATTGAGAGGAATGGAGATCAGATAGCCATTGGCATGTGACAATGAAATTCCAAGTATATGACAGAAAAGTCATCCTGGGGAAGAGATGGCAAAAGAATTATTCTAAGGAATGTTTAGAAAAGGTAGTATCTGGTACTTTATTCTAAAACTCTTAGTTTACCTGTAGTTATTGCTGCCCAATGCCTAATCTTAGAGGTTAAGTGGCAAATCTTTTCCCTGATCAACAGAAGCAATTTTTCCTTATCATATTTTTAAATGTGTTCTAAACATATTCCACTTTTAACTGCTATGCTAATTAAACACATCAATTTCTCATTCTTTCATTTAAAAATGGAATGTTGCCTGGCTGGTGTGGTTCAGTGGACTGAGCTTCATCTCATGGACTGAGAAGTCCCAGTTCGATTCCCAGTCTGGGCACATGCCCTGGTTTCAGGCTCGATCCCCAGTAGGGGCATGCAGGAGACAGCTAATGGATGTTTCCCTCTCATATCGATGTTTCTATCTCTCCCTTTCCCTCTCTCTCTAAAAAATAAATAAACAAACAAACAAACAAACAAACGTTTAAAAAATGGAGTGTTAACCAAACTGAATGAAACTATTGTCTTTTTTTGGGGGGGTCAAATTATTGATAATTTGTATAAACAAAATGCAATGCAGTCTAAATGCTTGGAGCTTCATCTGACAAAATTATAAAATATTGGTGACTCATTTAAAAACAAATGCAATAGCCCTTGTCTGTTTGGCTCAGCAGTTAGAGCATTGGCCCATGGACCAGAGTCCCTGGTTCGGTTCCCGCTAAGGGCACATACCTGGGTTGCAGTTTGTCCCCAGTCCTGGTTGCGGTCATGTGAGTGGCAATCAGTTGATGTGTCTCTCTCACATTGATGTTTCTCTCTCTCCTGCTCTATCTGAAGATAAATGCAGAAATGTCCTCAGGTGAGGATAACAAAAAAAAAAAAAAAAAAATTAAAAATAAATGCAATAAAATATAGGAAGAACAGTGATGAATTTTACTTTAACCAAAGCCAGGGATATATAGACTCTGGCTCAATTTTGTTTAATTTCCCAAATATCTTATTTTCCTACTGTCTTTGTTTAGTTGTAATAGGCATATTATAACACACTTGCTCTTGTAAAGCATTTATGATTACAAATATAATGTATGCTTCCATAAGTCTTTAAACAAGATTTTATTTATCTATTTTTAAAATATGTTTTTATTGATTTTTCTTTTTAGAGAGAGAGGAAGGGAGAGAGAGAAACATCGATCGGCTCCTCCTGCACGACCCCTACTGCGGATCGAGCCCACAACCTGGGCATGTGCCCTGACTGGGAATCAAACCAGCATCTCTCAGTCCATGGGACGATGCTCAATCCACTGAGCTAAATCCAATTTTAAATACCAAAGTGTCAATGCTAAGTTTCTGATTTTAATAAAAAAAAAAAAATTAACATTAAACAAACATCGTTTCATTTATAATGCTGATTTTTGAAAGACATCTGAAAATGAGATGTAGTAAAACTTTGCTTCCAAAGTTAAGCTGACACAATCTATACAGGACAGAATTGAAACAAAAGAAAACTGTACCAAAGCAATTAGGTAGCCAATTTTTATCCTGTCATTCAACACTTTATACACCTTTACAAAGTTATGTATCATTTTGTATTTTTTATCTTGAAAGGGATGTCCTGCTACCTATATATCTGTACATTAGGATATATCCTGAGGACATTAGTGTGTTTAACCACAGGAATAATGTAAATTTTGCATGTTAAGCATACAATAAATGTTTGATAAACCTTAATATGAAGTTCTGTAGTATATTATTTTTTCAGATAATACCAAAAAAATCACAATGGAAAACCGAGAGTATTTATTTTCATTATTAATTTTCTTAAATGCAACATTTATTTCACAATCTCTGGAACTGTAAAACACCTTTTTTTTTAAATTTATAAAATTGAGGGAAGTAATTTAATGTCAAGATACACATGCTGAATATGATTTAGCATATAAGCACCAAAAGCTAAAAAATTTACAAAAATTGTTGAACTTGTAAGGTGCATTTATTCATGAATTACACTCAGTTTGAGGTAAGAAATAGTACCCCCAACCTCATTAGTATTTAAGAAATAGCTGAATAGCTTCCAACTTAGTTTACAGCAACATAAAAAATACTGCTTTTAGTTTTTTTATATAAGTCACCTGAAATTTAGATTCAAATTTAAGTGCTGCCTTTTGTGAATGGCAGTTTGAAAATTAAATCTATGTCCCAACTTAAGATACTTTATATACAGTAAGTATTTAATGGCCTAGAAAAACAAAACAAAAACAAAGTTAGTCAACATTGTTAACACCTGAAATTAACAAAAAAAGTTAGATATCTATATTTTTATCTAGAATTGGGTATAAAGTCATTTTGCATCAAATAAAATTATTTTGTAAATGTTATCAGTCCATTGAGTAATTAGTTCTTTTCTAAATATGTCTCTCTCTCTCTATATATATATATCTCTGGAAAAACTACTATTATGAAGATTAATGAAAATACAAAATTAATTTCTTGGTTTATAAATCAAAATTATTGTGATATTAAAGCATGCTTCTTTCCAAAGCACTGTCAGTGCTGATAACAATGAAATAAGGAAAGTCTATGCCAGCACTGGTTTAACTGCACCACCATGGCCATGGCTGTCCCGGGCGAGGACTGGCCTGGACCCAGTTCCATGGAGCCTCCATGCTCACTCCAGGTAGCTTATACACAGTCAAGGTATTCACATTGCCAACACAAAATCCAGCAAGCTGCAGTCCTGAAAGCCATCTACATTTATATATTTATTTCTTACTGTGTACGTTAAAAAAAGAATTTCATTGTGCTTTTCACATATCTGATATAAGTTTTCCTATCATTTTATTTCTAGGTTTCTTGGGAAGGGAAGGAAAAGACTAAGAAAAGAGGTACATCAAGGGAGTCAGACTGTAAAGTAACATTACACACACAACTAGCCAAATATCTTTTTAATTTAAAAGATACTATCATCAAAAAGCAATATATACACCTACAGAAGAAAACAGTATCCTTCCTCAAATCCACATTATTCCATGGTAGATTTTCACAGCACCCAGTATGTATAGCAATATATTTTCACAATCTGTTCAGTTATCGATCAAGTATGCTTTTAGAATTAAAAGATGTAACTTCCATAGCAGTCTAAACACTGTACTATTAATGTGCTTAGAAATGGTTCAGTGATTTGCTCATTATGATGTCTATTTACAAAGATATCTATTTACGTTAGCAATAAATAATCCTGATATCAAAAGAGAATGCTCATGCACACACTGAGATGGCCGCATGCTCTTAAAATATGTACATAGTTTCTCTGCTGTCGCTTTCTCAGGAATGGTGGAAGTGCATGTCCTTGAGTCTTTTCCACATTAGTCTTGCTTCTGGGGGATGCATCCTTCCATTTCCACAACTTCCGGCCAGCCTTCATATTTGTTTGTGTCCTTATTGTTCTTTATGTGCTGTTGGAACACAACAGAGTATCCATTTTTAACAACCTCTGTGGATTGCTTAGCTGTAACAACATATTTTAGTGCACTCATTTCACTAACACTCATGTCAACAAGGAGTTCATATAAATTACTGTTCAAGACCCAGCCAGTTGGCTCAGTTGGTTGGAGCATCATTCTGTACACCAAAAAGGTTGCAGGTTTGACCCTGGTCAGGGCGCCTACGGCAAAAGATCGATGTTTCCCCCCTTTTCCAAAATCAATAAAACATATCCTTGGGTGAGGACTAAAAAACATTATTGTTTAAGATATTAAAAGAGCAACCCTTGGGGCCTGGCATACAGTGGGGCAAACCTTCAAGTAAACACTGAAAGAACTAAACATTGCAGATTTTTTTAAAGGATCACTTATTAGCCAATAAGTAAAGTGTATATATTCTACTAAGTCCTAAAGTATTTCCAAACTTGATTGATTATAATATCAAAAGCTCAATTAAAATCTTTAATAACCAATGCTTCCTAAAAGGCTTAAGGTACAATTATTCATATGACAATTAATTGTCATGTAGGAAAAAAATTCCCAGGGAGAATTTGATTAGTGTTAAGTTTTAAAATTAAAACAGTACCATGTTTATTTAAAATAATTGATTACCAAGAACTTATAAAAAAATACACAAACATATTAAACGTCTGCTTTATCTAAGTTTCAAATAACTGGGATTAAATTATGTACCATATGATATTACACAATTTGGTTTTGTCCATTAACGATGAAAGTCTAAGACACTAACCTGTTCAAAAGGGCTTTTTGTCTTAATGCCTTTCCCACCACAGAAGACCCAGTTGTCTCTAAAACCAAGACTGGTAATAGATGTACTCCCCAATTCAGCAATGAGTCGCCGCGCCTCATCATTGAGTCTGAGGGAGAAAAAGAATAATAGAATAAACACAGTACAATCGTATTATCTAAGTGATCTTGATTCAATTAGGATATTTAACATATAACATGAGATAAAATAAGTTAGCTTAGCCCTGGCCAGTTTTTCTCAGTAGTTAGAGCACTGGCCAGCAGACAAAGGGTCTTGGGTTCGATTCTTGGTCAAGGGCAATTTACCCATGTTTCAGGTTCAATCCTCGGCCACAGTCAGGGCCATGCCTGAGGCAACCAATCAATGTGTCTCTCTCACATAGATGTTTCTCTCTCTCTCTATCTTTAAAAAAATAAATGAATCAGTGGAAAAATTATCCTCAGGTAAGAATTTTCAAAAAAAAGAAAGAAAATGTCAGCTTAAATGAGAGACAATAAAAAAAAGGAAGAAATTTTTGCCCAGCTAGTGTGGCTCAGTGGTTGAGCATTGACCCATGCACCAAGAGGTCACCAGTTTGATTCCCGGTCAGGGCACATACCCAAGTTGTGGGCCAAATCCCTAATGGGGGGCATGCAGGAGGCAGCCAGTGGATATTCTCTCTCATCAATGTTTCCATCTCTCTCTCCCTCTTCCCTCCTCTCTCTCTAAACAATAAACAAAAAAATATTTTTTTTTAAATGAGGAAATTTTTTAGAGTAACAGTCCTATTTGCAGGGTTTTTTATTTAAGTATAGTTCGTATACATTATATTAGTTTAGGGTATACAATATAGCGTTCTGACATCTTTATATCTTATAAGTGATCACTCCATTAATTCCTACTATTTGAATTCTTTAATGACAAAAGACAAGAAATCTACAAATTAATTTTAAGTTTATTTTATTAAGAAGTACCTTTTAGATGTCTTCATTTCACAACAATAATTAACTTTCATCAGTTAGGAAATACCTATCTAAGCTAACACAAAGTCTTAAGAAACCAATAACTTTGTAAAATTAAACATCACTTTGAATCTCCACTAAACCCTCTGTAAATTGTATTTGATTGAATAAGAGAAAATGCTGATAAAAATCTAATGTTTCTAATTCCATGTTTTATTTAAGATAAAATGAATTTTGAGAATAGGGCTATAAATTATACTTCAGTGATAAGTGCCAAGTGGTTATTTAGTTAAAAGTGAAAATATTAACCTCATAGCAGCTAAGCACCTCCCAACTGGAGGAAGGGCAGTGGCAAAAGCCAACTGCTAGGGAACAGTTAATAGAAAGATGCCATAGAATCCAGTGTGTGCTCCTGGCTTGCTCCCCAGCTTGTCTGTTGCCTTATTTCCTGTGTCCATCCTTCCTTACGTGAATGAGCTATCACTTCTCAATTGTTTCCTCACTTGATAAGCAAATTTTGAGAGAAACACTCTCTGAAAGTACTGCCTGTACCCTGTGTTCTTATTTTCAAACAGTGGCAGCATGTCTTGGATCTAGAAAACTGTCAAATTCTACTCCTTAGTTTCCAAGTCTACTTTCAGTCTACTTTCTTGGAATATTCTACTTACATCATCAGCACTAATAGGTGAGTTTTGCTGCTGTAACAAGAATAAACAGTAACAAAATGCAGAGGTTGGGCAGTAGGTCCACTGTCAGGCTTAGGGACAGCCTCCTGCAGAGAGGCCTTGGGCCTCGTTCACAGTTACCTCTCAGAACAATTTCAAAGTGGTACTTCACAGGCTTTAGGGTTGCTCCTAAATAGTAGAATGTTAAGTTTACAAAATGCTGAGGGATTGTACTTGTACAAAAAAAAACAGCAGCACTGAGGGACCTGGAGAGTATAATGCTAAGTGAAATAAGCCAGTCAGAGAAAGACAAACATCACATAATCTCACTTATATGTGGAATCTAATGAACAAAATAAACTAACAAACAAAAGAAGTCAAGAAGCATAGAACAGACTGACAGATCTCAAAGAGGAGGCCAGTGGGGGTGACAGGAAGAAATTAACCAAAGAACTTATATGCATAGCTCAAGGACACAGACAATAGTATGGTGAAGGCCTGGGATGCAGCATGGGCTGGGTGAAGGGGGCGTGTGGGGGATGGAAATAAGGTATATCTATATTAATGTCAACAGTAAAAAATTAAAAAAAAAAACTGCTTGCACCCTGGCCAGTTTGGCTCAGCATTTAGAGCATTAAGAGCACATACCTGGGTTGCAGGTTCAACCCCAGCCTTGGTCTGGGTCATGTGGAGGCAACCAATGAATGTTTTTCTCACATCGATGTTTCTGTTTCTCTCCCTCTCTCTCTTTCTCTCTCTTCCTCCTTCCCTCCTAAAAATCAATGGAAAAATATCCTCAAGTGAGGATTAACAACAACAAAAAAAAACCCAAACAAACAAAAATAAAAAAACCTGCTTGCAAAGTAGGTGGATATCCAAATGCAAGCCTGGCCCCTGCAAAAAGTATGTAAAATCTTTCTTAGCTAAGAATTTTATATCAGCTAAGAGCTATACTGAAGGTCAGTCATTGTTACTTCTGTACTTTTGAATTTCAGAAGTGATCATTTTGAACTGTAGAAATAAACTAAGCCAATTTAGCCAGATATATAGAGCAACTTAAAAATTTAGCCTTACATTTTGACTCTGTCAGTCTCTTTCCTTACTTTCCTATGAGAACACCCTCAGGTCCTGTGTAGAGAAGGGTTAACAGAATAGGCCTGAGTTGGCAAGACTGGGGCTTGGCTGGCACCTGGAAACTTGGATTTTGCCAGGGTTCCCACCATTCCCAGAAATGATGAGAATGGTTCACTGTGCCTCAACTGTAAAAAAACAACAACAACGCAGTTTATGATAAACACCTACTCTCTTTCTGGAAGCCTGGAACTTTGGGATGTGTTGGGCAGGGGTGCCTATGTGACCAGCTCCCAATAAAAATCCTGGGCACTGAGTCTCTAACAAGTTTCTCTAGTAAACAGAATTTCAGTGTTGTCACAGTTTGTTCCTAGAGAAATTAAGCATGTCCTGTGTGACTCCACTCAGAGGATTCGTAAAAACTTGGGCCTGGTTCCCTCCAGACTTTGCCCCATGCACCTCTGCCTTTTGCTGATTTTGCATTGACTCCTTTTGCTGTAACAAACTGTAGCCATCTGTGAGGTCTCTATGCTGGGTCCTCTAAGTCCCCTAAAACAAATCATCAAACCTGGGGGCTGTCCTGGGCATCCCTGCTACAGGTCCCTATCGCCATCTATCTAACTAGTTTCATAACAAGATAATTCTCTCAATGACTTCTAAAGTTTTCTGGTCTGCTTATATAGAGTTTGGGGGATTTTATTGTTCCTTTTTGGTATTTTCTATTTAACTAGGTAAAAGAGGATTTCATATTTCAAAAAGAATTTGAAAACCATGCAACATAGCCAATATTTTGAGCACTAGATTAATATACCTAGATGTCAAAATGACCCAATTTTTAAAAGGAATACCGCCTGGCCAGTGTGGCTCAGTGAACTGAATGTCATTCCATAGACTGAGAGGTCCCAGTTCGATTTCCAGTCAGGGCACATGCCTGGGTTTCAGGCTCGATCCCCAGTATGGGGCGTGTAGGAGGCAGCCAATCGACGTTTCTCTCTCTCTCTCTTTAAAAAAAAAAAAAAATCAATAAAACATATTAAAAAATAAATAAAATACAGAATAACTATCATAGTTATATATAGTGTGAAGTTTATTACATGTATCTTCATCCTTTTTTTTTTGGTTAATCCTTTCCCAAGGATATTTTTCCATTGATTTTTAGAAAGACTGGAAGGGACAGAAGGAGGGAGGTAGCAAGGGAGGGAGAGAGAGAGGGAGAAGAGAGAAACCTCGATGTAAGAAGATACATTGATTGGCTGCCTCCTGCACAACCATGACTGGGGCTGGGGATGGAACCTGCAACCCAGGTATGTGCCCTTGACTGCAACTGAATTGCCACCCTTTGACCCTTTAGTCCACGGGCCGATGCTCTAACCACTTAGCTAAAGCAGCCAGGACTGTATTTTAATCTTTACCAATGGTATTAAGTAGCTCAACTGTTAAAACTTTGTATTAAATAGCCTTTGCCAGTTTGGTTCAGCGGTTAGAGCACTGGCCCAAGGACCAAAGAAAGGGTCAAGGACATGTACCTGGGTTGTAGGTTCCACCCCTGGCCCAGGTCAGGGTTGTGTGGGAGGCAGCCAACTGATGTGTCTCTCACACTGATACCTCTCTTTCTCCCCCCACACCCTTCCCTCTCAATCTATCTGAAAATCAATAAAAAAGTATCCTCAGGTGAGGATTTTTTAAAACATTATATGAAATAAATTATTTTAGCTAAGAATTTTCTTTAAAACGAATAGAACATAATCCTCTGACAAACCACAGGAAGACAAGGTTGACACAGGAATGGGGTATTCTAGAAGTGGCTCTAAAGCTGCACAGTGGAGCAGAAAGAGAGGAAGTGGGAACTGGAGAGGGGAGCCTCCAGCTCTGCCTCCATCTCTGGTGGGAAAGGAAGGACATCGACAGTCCTCCAGTCACACCATCTAACCACGCCAGAGCTCTCATTCTCAGAAAGTACTGAAAACGAGGCGGAGACTGATATTCTGGGCTCAATTCTGACTAACAGGGAAGGATCAGTCACAAAGTAGAAGTGTCAGGAGCTTTGAAAGAAAATCACCAAGTTACCTTAGGAGGGTGAAGACTAAGAAATTCTAGGCATAGGTGACCGTGTAACCAAGACTTCAAAGAGAGCATATTACAAAGGGTTCAGATTAGAAACTCTTATTAAAAGACTATGACTCTTTAAAAACAAACAAAACTCTAATAAATTTCACTATATAATTTGCTAATAATCTCATTAAAAAGGATAGTTTCTAAATTAGTGATACAACTGGAGTGTTCTGTGATGGGCTCAACCAAAAAAAAAAAAAAAAAGGAAGTGTGCAAAAATGCAGGGCAAAAAAAAAAATCCTATTACTAATGACAAATTTTACTGCTACTACCAGGAAGGCCTACAGTGCTTAGAATGCAATGAGACTCATAAAACTCTT